TAGTAAGAATATGCAGTAAGCTAAGCGAAGAGGTAAGCAAGAGACATGTTAGACTATATTACAACTACTTAACGTGTTAATAACTACTACACTACATTACTACTATTACAAAAAATAAATAAAAGAATTTACAATCAACAATTACTTCAAACAAAAAAACAAAAATAAGCATGCAAAATAAAAATTAAATCAAATTAACTACAAAAAAACATGCAAAATAAAAAATTAATTTGAATAAAATCAACTTAATGAATTCTACTAGATAGAGCATGCAAGATAAAGAACTATTTCAACTACGGGGTCATCTTTGTCTTCTCCAACGTCGATCTGAAACAGATACGGTGGCAAACAGATTAATAAAAAGCAATTAAAATTAATTATATCAAGTATTCTCACCTTCATTAACTGTAACTGTAACATTTCAAAGTTTGCAGATGTGAAGAGCAAACCAAATTCAAATCCATAGCAGAAAATTTGTTGTTTCAGTGGAATTCAAATAAATCTCCAGTTGCTCTTCTCTCTTCGGTTGAAAATTAACTGCATAATGTTGCAAGGCGAAGACGAAAACAGCAAATCAAGAAAACAGTTCACAATAGACCACACCCATGTAGACTTTGGTTGTTTCAGTAAGACCAAGCTGAACATTAATTCTCTCATTTATTGGATAATCTGCAGAAATCGACAAAAAAGACATATTAATTACACTATAAATTAAACACACCTAATAACAAGTACCAAAAAGCAAGTAAAATAGATTGAATTATAAAATGGCGAGAAACGTCACTTTACATCATGACATAGATAAATGTGAAATAATCATAGATGCATAACGTCAATTTATGATGTAGACAATAGATAATTGTTAAATGAGATACCATAGATGTACTGTAGCCGTAACGTCAATTTATACTGCAGACAATAGATAATCGTGAGAATACCATACATTCACGATAACGACAATTTACACTGTGAATAGACAAGTTTTAAAAGAAATACCACAACAGATTAATAAAGAGCAATTCACAATAATTATCTTATGCATTCTCACCTTAATTAATTGCAGAAACTAATATTCTAAAGTCTAAATGTGTAACGAGCAAGCCAAAGCCAGGAGAGATGCCACTGCAATCTATTGTTTCAGCGGTTTCCAAATTAATTTCCAGCAGTCTCCCCCTTCTCATATGTTGGGCAGTCTATAGAAACGGGCAAGAAAAAGTAATTAATTACCACTTTAAAGCAAGTAAATCAATATTATTTTCAAGTAGCAATGTGGTGGTAAAGTTCATTCAAACTGTTGAAAAGAGCAGTTCCACATTACTTTTGCTGTTCTGTTTCTGCCATTTCTGAAACGTTGTTTGAAAGTTGTCTATTGAAAGTAACAAATGGCTAAGAAATTAAAGTTACTGGACCTCATTTACTGTTTTTAATTGATACTAGTACTTACCAATTCATTGTCATGAATCCTTCCTTCAGCAAAAACATACTGTCTTCATTCTCAATGGAAAAAAAATCACTTTCGTGCATTCCCTTGGGCTATAGGTACAGCTACTCCCTGAAACGAAGGAGGACTGATGTAACCAACGGTCTGTAACTTAATGGCATCCAGAATTTTTATAATGTTCCTGTGAAATGAAATTTTATGAATGAGTATTAAAAAATATTATAATCTAGCTTCCCTAGTAAATAACGTGCATAATACAATGTTAAAGCTAATACAAAATAAATGTACTGTATGCTCTCACTAATAATTATAGCATGTATTTATGCTCACCTCAATTATCTGCAAAATTATTTATAGAAAGAACATCACATCGAACAACTTCTTTTACGCTAGCATCAAAACGAACTTCCATGTCCTCTCCGCCTCTCGTTTATCATCGATCTGTAAAAAATTAAGAAGCGAAACTAATTCACAATACTATTAAATAAATAAAACTTTAAATACAATAAAAACACGCATCGAAAAGCAAGTAAAATTGCTAAATTGCAAAATTTTAAAATGGCGGAGTAGCGTCGCTTTTAATACAAAATGGCAAGATGGACAAGAACCGAACGGGATGCATAAAATTCATAGAATTCATATAATTGTGCTGTAGCATATAGATGTGTCAATGAAAGAAAATACTATAGAGCATAGACGGAAAAATGAAACAGTCAATATTAATTATTTTAAATTGCGTAAATTAAGTTATAAATCATTTATAACATGTTTTTACACATATAAATTTCGGCAAATCGTACGAAACCGAAATATTAACTTCCAATTACGATTCTATTTAATAGTCATGACCTCATGACCTTGAGGAAGTACATATCAAAAAAAAGAAAAACAATAACTTTCCGAAAAAACCAATATGCACATCGTGATAAGCAATATTTAGTTATAATATTTCGACTATTGCATGATCGCCAGCAAGAGTTATTAGGCATTTTTCTTTTATTTCTTACCTTCAAAATGCACGGCTCGTGTATTAGGACTGCTCGTCAAAATAAAGATGGCGGATAACAATTTATGACGTCAGTTGCTTATAGTACATTATTTCTAAGCCCGCTTAGTTTAATGTACCGGGGTTTTTTGAATTAAAAATTGCAGAATGCTTATTTTTATGTACTTCCTCGAGGTCATGAGGTCATGACTATTAAATAGAATCGTAATTGGAAGTTAATATTTCGGTTTCGTACGATTTGCCGAAATTTATATGTGTAAAAACATGTTATAAATGATTTATAACTTAATTTACGCAATTTAAAATAATTAATATTGACTGTTTCATTTTTCCGTCTATGCTCTATAGTATTTTCTTTCATTGACACATCTATATGCTACAGCACAATTATATGAATTCTATGAATTTTATGCATCCCGTTCGGTTCTTGTCCATCTTGCCATTTTGTATTAAAAGCGACGCTACTCCGCCATTTTAAAATTTTGCAATTTAGCAATTTTACTTGCTTTTCTATGCGTGTTTTTATTGTATTTAAAGTTTTATTTATTTAATAGTATTGTGAATTAGTTTCGCTTCTTAATTTTTTACAGATCGATGATAAACGAGAGGCGGAGAG